CAAACAGCGTAGACTCACAATCATACTCTTCTCCGGTTGACATTGGCCCATGTACTTTCTTTTGCGACCTGCACATGCTCAGGAAATGATGTTGTCTCTGACAATTGTGACATGTCTTGCCGTACACCGGGCATTCTCTCACACCATATCTTGTTCCACAATTTGAATGAAAATTGAATGAAAATTTATTTGAATTAGAGGGGTGTTTGCCTTCATTGGCTGGGGGTGTCTCTCTAAATGGTGCCTTTTTAGCTCATTCACGCTGAAAGCAATGAATGAGGTATTGTGGTGAAGCAGATGTTGACGGAAGTTGTATTCCGTGGACGGAAGTTGCATTGTAGACCGTGAACGGAAGTAGTCTCGCATGCTACCCCTCCCCACTTAGTGAAAGTCAAAATTAATGTCGATGAAGCTCAGAAAATCGTGTGGAAAGAAATAAAATGTTTGTACGGTTTGATAAAAATAGTAACTTCAAATCACATTCCCGAACTTCTATAGATGCAAGTTGAATCGAGAAGCCTAGGGGACCGGCAGCGGTTTCATTTCAACACACGTTGTGACCACGCAGAAGAGCATCAGAGGCAGCCTTATTGGTAAGCCGCGCATTTGCGTTCGTCTTTAATTGGTTTAAAGTAATCATTGCTCTATCATTGTGCTTATCCAAGGGAGCTCTTCAACATACAGTCCATACATCAATCATAGCGGCTGAGATAATCTGACTAAAATTTTTTTCGAGCTCCAATATTTCGGTCCGGACTTGAGGCTCACTCGAACAAAATCAGCAATACAAATTCGGTCAGTGAAAAATGCAGACTGCAGACCGGGTACAAAATGTAGACTGCAGACTGCAGACTGGGTACAAAATGCAGATTGAGAATTTATACTGTTTTTTTCGCCTGATACGTGGTAACATGTCATCTTACAACTTACCGAGCGTCACGCAATCGCTTTTCCGCGATCATCTTTCTCGATAATTTTCACTATTGTGGAATATTCCTTACCCGTTTCTTGATCACAATCGTTCTTAATATAATTTCAAGCCTTCCTGTAGTCTTCTCACTTTGCGCGCGAGGTGGTTGGTGTGGTACCTGTTCAGAATATACCAACTTAATAAAAGTAGATGTAGATGTAAATGAGATGTCCCTATTGAATAATTAATAATTTCTCGATATTTGAGAAAAAAATGTCAGCTTTGCATGTGGTCCATACGTTTCATCTTTATAACCGATATGTGTACATTCTGTTGAAAACTGTTCTTACGACTTGATATAGTTTCAACGTTTAGGGGTGTACAAACACCGATTTTCACATATGTACCTTCTATTGTTATTAACTTACATGAGGAACCGGCGAATTTTTATAGGGAAAAGCGAAGCGTTACTTTCGTGACTGGCCATTTGTCTACTTTTCTGTTGGTTTTATCTCTCATCTGTCTGGTGACAACGCAGATATTGGTATGAGAAAATCAGACTACATGAAGGCTCTAAATTCTATTAAAAACGATTGTGGCCGCTTTGTTAATTAAAGTGCTCTGTGAGCAAACTCGTGAATTTACACATGATTTTTTGGATTATGTTTAATGTTATCTGGTTTAGGGAATTTTGTGGTTGATTGTCATATCTAGAGTACGAGCAGTAGTTCAGTGTTCGCTAATGTAGCAAAGAAACAAAGTAACGCTGGGATAAGAAGGCATTACAATTGAAATGATCATGCTATTGCATTTTACAAGGGTGGATGATGTCATGTGTTTTAAACGTATATCATTTCTGTTTCTGATTCAAAAGAAAAGGTTGGAAGTAAATGTGGGTGAAAAGTGAAATTTACTGTCTATCATTGTAAATATTAGAAAATCAAGGCAATACTGTCTTAATGAAAACATTAACGATTCCCTCTTTATCAAATGAGACAAACGGGAACGAGTTTTGAGTGATATACCTAAGCCAAGACTGCCACCGTCATTTTGGATCTCCGCCTGGGTAGATTTTAGTCACGTGCTAGGCAACGTATAATCAATAACAAGATAGAATTTCATTTCAGGCCTATTTATTAATTTTGTGGTGTATAACTTTCGCATTTTAGTACGTAATATGTATTTTGAATCTTCAAATTCTCTTGAAACTTAAAAGAAAATTGTTCTTTAAAAAATTCACTGAAAATCGGTAGCTAAAATTGTTTGTTTAGGTGTCATTTGATTTTCGTGTTAACTTGTAATTTTGTTAGTCGCCGGCATCTTTTGTTGCCTCACACAGGAAAAACACACGGTACGAAACGTAACGATCGATTTTGTTCTCAATCTCACGCCGTAACAGAAAAAGCTTTTGAACATCTGTAAACTCCGAGTGCTTCGCAGTAAGTGATATTTTCAATGAATCTTCGGATTGTTTTCAAGTTCAAGGAATGTAAATTACAATTTTATGAAAAACGAAGGTTGTTCTGTTATTTCAGTGTTAATCTTGCATGCCTGCCAGTCGCTGGCGCCGCTTGTTGAAACTAAAACCAAAAAAAAAAAGTCCATAAGTCTTGAGAGTTCACATAAGTTGAATTAAGTTGTACCTATATTCAACAAGTCCAAGAAATCAATACAAACTTAAGCCATAACATTAATGAGCTGGCTCCAAGTGCCCTTTGATTCTTCTTTGTTCCAATTCCATGTAGAGATGAGTCGTTTAAGAGGTCGTTTACTGTGACATTGCCTGGATTAACCTTCTACAGTGAGAAATAGATCGACTACACGCCTACAGAGTAGATCTACACGGATCATCACACATTGCTCTCGCCCATCTGAGGCAACAGAGCAGCTGCACTGGCCGACTCTTTCCAGCATACGCTCTTACCACAAGGCTAGACTCGTTTTTCTCTGTCTTCACTCAATAGTCCCTAGTTATTTTTATTATATTTTACTAGATTTTCGAACTCTCACAATTATTCCACAAGGCAGAGTATGAGGCTATCCCTACCAAACGTTAAACAGAATTTCGAGAAAAGGACCTTTCTTCTTACTAACGCGAAAATTTTTAACCTACTCCCCGTAAACATTGTGAAGAGTGAAAACATTCAGACGTTCTGCTGCCGAGCAAGACATTTCTTTTTATCATGACTTTGATGTTTTATTATATTTTAGACTTTAAAAGTGACTTTGCATTGTATTTTTTAGGCTCTTAATGTAGTTCTTAAATTCTATTTTTGTATTTTTATTAGGCTCTTTGAATGTGATAGTTTATGAAAATTCGTAATTCAAATTAATTTTTTCAGATACAGGGCCCCTATGGAGACCAGCCTTGAAGCTAAACGGGCTACCCTGTGTAAATAGAGTTTTTCATTTTTCTTTACTTTACTTTTAGCTGCCTTTCTGTCGCCTCTGCTGATCGAACCTCATATATAGCTTTCTCCTAGGTGAGGTCTGCAATCCTGAATAGTCTCTACCTTGTTTTTGTTTCAGTGATGCCTAGCACAATTCGATCTTTAATATAAGAATTCTTCATTGTGCTGAATTCACGTTTCACTTAGCTTTCTAAACACGATCACATATTGATCAATGGTTTCGCCATTTTATCGGGCTCTTGAAAAGAACTTGTATCTCTCGTAACTAATGTTTTTCCTCGGTTCATAGTGTTCCTCAAATTTCTGTTATACTTTGTCGATCTTTTTGACATCACCTTCCTCATCCTAGGTTAAAGTATTAAATAAACAACAGATGTTTTATTATCAAGATTTTTAGGCTCTTCATTGTTCATCATGCGTCCTTGAGAGACGACATCCTTGGTTTAGTCTTTGTTATTTCCAGCACGCTTAATGCGAAGGCAGTGGTTAAGACATACACAAATTACATGAGCGGCTGTCAATAACAACTGTAGTCAACAACTTCAATAAGAGAGCACATTAGAAGTATTTCGTTGTTTTACTTATTTATATATAATGTATATTTTATGTTTTTGTCAAAACGATCGATGCTATTTAAAGCTGACAAATTGTCGCCCACAAAGGGTATAAAAGATATGGTGTTATGTAGGAGGCCCGTGTTGTACGAAAGTACGATAATTTGAAGTTCCGGTGTTTGGGTGGTAAAAGCACCCACCTTTTCTCTTTCTTTTTCAGAAATGTTATTGGCATTGCTAAATATTGTCCTGAAATACAGTAAACAAACAATGACTTTGAGGTCAGTTCAGCATTTAAAATGCGTCTCTGGTGTTCGGTTCATTTTATGTCACTTCTTCTGTCAATTTCACTGCAAATCAGAGCAGAAATTTACAGGAAGAGGAGAGAAAAGTGGGTTAAATGCGCTGTAATGATTTCAGTAAAAACTAATCAATATAACATTAAAGAAAAATATGTTTTAGTCCAACTGTAATGCGGACCATTACAGGTGATGAGACATCATTGCCCTATGATGCAACTATGGTTTAATTGGAAATGAAAGCCGACAAAATAGCCTCTTTTGTTGTAGTTTTCTGACAGGTGACTGAGAATAGAGGAGAAAATTGAAACTCCTCTGCTAATTACAGAATGCAAAGAAAACACAAGAAGTGATTAGCACGAGTTTGAGGTTAAAGAACTCACCAAGCATATTAATAAATAATGCATTTAGGTTTCCACGAGCCATGTATGTTTTGACACGTAATATTACAACTTTCTTTCGATAAACTTTTGTGGTAGCTTTTGACAACAATGGCTGCCTCCGAATAGAACAAAAAATGTTTTAAAAGATATCTTGATGTAACCACGAGTTCTCAAGCCTTTTCTTACAACTTGCTTATGTTTGTAAACCATTTACACCTACTGATGTTAAGCTGGAAGGCATGACAAGTTTTTGTTACCATATGTGGCTAATTCTGGAAAAACAAAGCGAATAAAAAAAGAGTGCCAAAAATGTGATGAAAAGATTTTAGAGAGACGGCAATTTTCCTTCACCTCTCGTTCAATTAAAACCGCTTAACACTTAGATAATTTCTCACTTAAATATACAAAGCCCAATTCCCAAAGAACACACTTGCAGTTGGCGCTGTGGCGTCACTAAGAGCCCAATGGAGTTGCACTTCAGGCTTTCACTCAGCAAAACACCCGCTGGGTATTTAAGAGGCCACAACAACACCGAACGTCACAATCTAACAAGCACGTCGAAAGATCATGGAAGTGATGAAGAGTCTGTTCGTAGCTGTGTGTGTTTTCCTCTTCGCGGTACAATGTCAAGGGCAATTGTCATATTCATATCGTCCTATGGGACGCGATGAGATAGCAGACGACTCGGTAAGGAAGGAACTGAAGTGATAAATTGCGATAGATATGTTTGAATGAAATGTGTCAGAGCCTTAGGTTCGGTAGGACACAAAACTATTGAATTGATTTTGCTTTAATTTCTTATTTTATAGTTTCCCTCATCAGATTAAGGCTTTTTTCAACATTCAACTCAGAAAGTTATTATTATATGAACTGGATTTTAAAAGCCAGCGAGTATCTTTTTTTATAGTAGGCGTGAGGAGTCTGGGTGCTCTATTTCACCTATACGTACCTAAAAACAAGCATGTGTTGATCAAATTGACGGATAAATAAATAGCAGTAGAAGTGGGCTGAAAAGAGGTTGAAATTAAGTTGACGACAAATACTAAATTGGTTTCCTGTTTGCAACTGTGAATTTAATACAAAAAGATTAAATCAAACTCGCTTTTTCTTTCATGCCTTTGGATTGCACTAAACGTGCACGGACGTTTTTACTCTTCCCACATCTGAGAGTCTACCTAATCATATTGCTATTGCGAATTCTTCAGGAGTCCCTAGCAGCACCATACAGAGTAATCTTACACAACAGGAGATTTATGAAAGTACCACGCAACCGTAACATTCGACCTGCATACAACAGCATGATTGGAAAAGACTCTTTGGAATATGACACGACATCCCGTGCTTTTTCGAAAGAACACGAAGCAAAGTGAACGTTAATGAACCAATCCCAATTAGAGGAAGGGCTTTCAAACACACAGATCATGAGAACTTTGTTTTTTTTTCTTTTGGTTCTTGAGTATCATTGTTAATTTGATACAAAGGAAAACACATTAAGCAGGGTCTTTCGTTTTTTTGTGGAATTACTCTAGAATGAAGAGTGGTTCCGAGATGTTTTTTCGACTCGAAAGAAAAAAAAGGTCAATGGTACAAAATGTATTCATATGTACGACAAATGGGATCTATTAAAGAGAAAGTTGGCTAAAATGCTTTACTACCCGGTGAATATGGTATTCTAACTTTCCGTTTTCCCACGCATTTTCCGCCACATGTAAATTGTTCCCAGCAGAATGTAGGAAATGTGTCATATCTTTCTCTACACCAACGAGATTCCCAAATTTCAGAGTTAGAGCATCTTCACTTTGCACTTTCAAAGAGATTAAAATGTCGCCCGTTTCCTCTTAAAAAAACTTCTCTCTTTTCCGCACCCGTAGGAAATAAATGTGGCACCTTACTTTCCACTCAGGTAAGCGAGCGAAATTCACTAATCGCTAAGCGTCCTGTCTTCTTTTTTCAAGCTAATAATAATGTCGCCTTAGCCTAATGGCTCGGTTGGCGACAGTTTGGCGTGAATCGGGGTCAGCGGTATCACGTCAATATATTTCTTCCATGATGGAATGAATTGTTGGAAACGGACCAACAGCGAGCAAGTAATCACACAACCACAATGAATAAAAAACCTTAAATTTAATCTGCATAGCCAAAGCGTTAAGTGCGACAAGCATGCAACGCTGGAATAAGGCAACTTCAGGCATTAATACCCGGTAATGGATTCAGCGTTGCAATTTCTTTATTCACTCAAAAATCGCTCATTGTTGTGCTTCGTTTTTGAGCACCCAGTGAGCCTGAATGCTGCCTTGAGGTAGGGGATCAGGGTGGCTGACTGTCCCTTGGGTGGCTCACGGGACATGTGTCCTTTGTGCAGTTTTCTAGACGAGCAGCAGCAACTGCTGAGCGATGGTGTTACTAGGGTAAAGGGTAGACATACGCGAGTGGAAGAACGCGAAAAAACTACTGCGCCGGAAGCCATGATCGATCCTAGATTTTATAATAACTGTGAAATTCTCACGTGCTCACTGGTCGAGAACTTCTGTCAATAAGGTTATAAATGATAAAAATGACGTATCATCTAACGCAATGCTGATGAATTTATCTGTACTGTGTGAGTCGCTGATAGATTTGGGGCTCTTTTCCAAGATTACAACTTCTCTTTTTAACAAATCTTCCGAACAAATTTCCACCAAAGAAAGTATTAGAAAAACGTACTAAGGTCAAAAAATTAAAATAGATTTCGTTCGAATTGTGGTAACTGAGTATGTAATATCGGTACTTATGGGTGTTGTGGGAGTTTTGAGTAAAGGCACTGAGAGGAAAGAAAGTGAAATTCAAGGAAGAATAAAATTGCAGGAAACTGCACAGAACAACTCTGCATCGAAAACGATATCCGCACATTCTCAAGACGATTTAGCAGCACAGAATGTGGAAGGGCAAAAAAAATATCCTCCGTGAATCACACCTTCTGAGGATCATCTTCTTGGTCAACTGTGCTATTGCCTTAAGGTCGCGCCAAGCCTCTTAAAAAACACAGTTTCCTCAGCTTGTCCCTATAAAAGCCTTTATCTTTTCGTCACACAAGTCTGTAATCTTCCCCACTAACATTTCAATTTTTCTTTGTTTTCAGTGGTTTCGTTTTGGTCAGTTCAGTGGTTTCGCTTGGATGTCTTTTTTTCTCGGGTGTTTTTCGCTCTTCGACCGACCGTTGGCGGCAGGGCCCTAGTCATGATATAGAGACAAACTACAGTAGTTGATACATAAACCAAGAGAACAGTGGTTACCTGTACGGGAAGGCGGCTTTGGAAGCTGGTGTGACACGGGAGGTGAAGCTGTGATAAGCTTCGTCTGCTGCCGAAAATGATCGTAAATGCCTGTCACGATCAGACGTTACTCCACTGACGAACAATGTCGATGGATATCTGGAGTTCCAAGGAAGATGTTAATTCAAACTAGATTCCAAATAAGGATGCTTCATAAATTATAACATTTCAGTTCTGATTGGCAAATCGCGAAAGCATAAGTAGACTGTTTTTTTAGATTACAGAGTTGACCACTGCGTCCTCGTTGGGATTATTTCGCTATGAAGACAAAACATTATTACAGAACTTATGGTTTTATTTTTCAACGTAACAAATAAACTTTTTAGGCATTATTGTTTACACGAGTAAAGGATGTTGCGACAGTAGTGAGTTCTAAATCTAAGCATTCGTCTTACATCATTCCTGACATGTCTTGAGATATCTTCCATGTGGAAGCAATGTCCTCCGTTCAGTGAGATCTCGGTTATTCTTATCAACTTGGTTTAAAGGTACATTACTTCTCTGCGGCCTCATCTCTGGATATGCTTTTGAAATCATTTTTCTTGCTCTCCCCTTGAAATTAAAAAAAAAAAGATTTTCGTTAATGCTTGGTAACTATCTTCACCAGTCAGTGCCGAGAGCAATAAAACTACCAAGCGTAACTTGGTCGATTGCGATTTCCTACACTCTGCTGCCGTTCATATACTGTTACTTTGAGTTCTTATCGGCTCTGGGTAATATATAGTATTCATATCAAGTGAACTTAAATAGAAATAACTACATAGCGACCAATCCCACTAAGGAAATTACCACAGGGAGCCACTAAACACTTGACATGTCGCTGTGCAAATTTCTGTTATATTCTTTCCCATGATTTGCGAAGGTCATCAACCGATTGTGACCACAATGTATAATACACTTTTTATACAGTAAAAAAATTGCAAGAACTCTTCGAACGAATGCAATATATAGTCTCTTTTGAGCGCTTAATTGTTCGAAATTGCCTAAGGAATTAGTTGATTTTCAGCTAATTTAATACATTAAGTTTTAAGTTTGAAAAAGTCTGCGTTGTATGGAATTAATTAATCATAATAAAAATTATTGGACGACAAGAGGTTATAAACTATCAAAAGCCGTATCCTATATCTTCCGATAGGGAAAAGAAACTCTTGTAAAAACGTGAAATGAAACAAAATTGTTAACTGAAATAATCAATATGCCGATATGAAAAGTACAAACGCGGATCTCCTGAAAACTTCAGCGATTAGGGAAGGAGCATCAGAAAAGAGACGGGGAAGGGGAGGGGGGGGGGGAAATTTGGGAGGTTTTAACATAGTCATGTTACTTTCTTTTATTTCATTAATATTGATTTACCAACAATTTTCTTTTATGTTTTCGCGCCCCACATCTTTCATCACTTTTCTGATAGTCCATATTCTATATGGTCAAGACATGACCTATAATAGTGGCCTGGAAGTATCCAGAAGAATCGCAAAAATTATCTTCATCTAAAATTTACGTAGTCAGTGAATTCAGTTCTTCAAGAAATCACGCGCTGAGAAAATTATGATTTCGCGAAGAAGCCAAAAGTAACTAAACATCGCGGAGACGAAAATAATAGTCAAAACATCGGCGAAAATGTGTGGAATTCAGCAATACGTCCGACTGTATCTTATTTCTTAGGCAAGCTCTGTCAAACCCTTGGTGCAAAGTGTCACGGTGTATCTGATCTCCCTTCCTCTAACCAACTGGATGTTTTGTGAGAAACTGCAACTCTACGTAACTTAAGATGTACAACGCTGTAGCTCAAGAGCGAAAGTTATTCATTTGATTTAACTTCTATTTATCGCCAAGGCGTCGATGTCCCCAACCATTAGAGAAGAGACTACTTATAATCAACACATTGATAGAGTTTCATAATCATCATTATTATTTCAATGTGTGTGCAGCGTTCGAACGCTTTCGGAGAGGTTTCCTTGAGTGGAGGATTGATTGCGATAAGGTATTATGTCCTCTGTTTTACTCGCGAAACAGATGAGAAAGCGGTGAAAGACTTTGGAATTAAGCTTTAATAGCTACGTTACAGTCGCATGCTGAATGAGTGATGTGAAAGATTAAATGCATGGTGAGTGAATACTTACTAAAGAGCGTCCATCTTTGCATCGGCGTCTCATGTTATGTGTTAGCTGTCCCTGCGTCTCTTGTACATAAAGCAAGAGGCAGACCAACATAGTAATAAGAAATAACAATAACAAGGTTTTCATCTCGGTTTTTTTTTCGTGCGTCAGTGTACTATGTCCACAAGATAACAGTACTCTACTTTCTCGTGCCTTTAAGTGAACTAGCAAACCGATCGGTCAGTCTCGTTAAAAACCCAGAACATAATAGTTTCCAAAGAAACACGGAACACCTTTTTTATATCGCCTTCTTGTGTTATGTCGTTTTTTAAGTCATGCAAATTTGAAACATTTTTGATAAGGACACTGGACAAACCAAGTACTTAGTCAGCTCTTTTGCAAAACTGCTATTAGTTCACCCCCGCCGTTTCCAGTGCGTGGGAGAAATTGGGCGGAAATCTCTATATCAGAATGATTTCCTGTTTCATTTTTATTTCCTTGACGTCAAAAATGTTCAAGTTTAGTAGATTCTAAAATAAATTTACGTATTTTGACCGACTTATCCATAATCTGTTTAAGAGGTTAAGTACAGGAAAATGTTTTCGCAAAGTGAGTAACGCAATGATAGAAGTAATGATATATCTTATCGTGATGGATTTTTCCCTTTCCAACACTTAAAGTCAACGAGGAATCAATTTGCTGTTAACGTCAACCACTTAATTTGTGAATTTTGATAAAACCAAGCGCAACTGATCATCTCTTCGTGTTAAAATAAAGTTTGTTTTTCCATAAAAGGAAGAAAAGGAGTCTCAAGGTAATTTGGAAGATTGAGTTCAAACTCAGCGTTCTTACGATTATGTGAGGAAAACTCAAAGATGCATAGTGAATGTTTCGCACCTCCGTCAACAGTCATTCACCAACATGTCTTAATCAACTGCATTTAGACTCCACACAATGAGTAAAAGCGTTCAATTCCTGAATTGAAGAAATCGACAAGTTAACTAGGTTCTGCCTCAAATGGACCGTCATAACTTGTTTATGAGAAATTTCAAATTTAGAAGTCAAAATCACTGTTTTACGACTATGTTTTAGCAGCTGTGTCCTATTTAAATGAGGCAAAAAGGTTTGGTACACACGCACTACGTTAGTTTGACGATTTGTACGCTGTAGTCGCAAACAAACTAACGAGTTTATGTTTATTATGTACAATCATCACTCTCGTTTACTCCGTTTACATAGGACATTCTGACACTGAGCTTGTCAAAGCTTGAAGTCGGACTTTCTTTCTCATTTGTGCCTGCCATTGATCTCTTACAGTTAAGGGCTTTTGTGACACCTGAGGGGAACTTTATCCTCTCAAAAAAAAAAAAGAAAAAACCCCGAAAACCCTCCCTAAATTTACTGATTGTAGGAGTTGAGTACCTTACGCCTCATTTAAGTTCTTGGTGCCATTTTTTGTTTGTCTTTACCCAAATTGAATCCAGTCTTGTATGCTAAGTAGATAGAAAGCCTTGACTTTAAATCGCTATAATTTTATTTTCTTTACTGGGTTTAAGATGATAAATGGTTAGGCTCGGCGCATTCAAATTGCTTGATATCAATTGCAGTATCTTTTATTTTTTTAATTTGTTTTCATTCCTGCCAAATATGTATTTTAAAAAAGATGTGAATGCCTATCAAACGAGTACAATGAAGAATTCGCATTTCTTTAGTACGGATGAAACTTTTGTAGTGCTTCTGTTGCCTGCCAAATGAGAGTTTCACGAAGGGAATAGCTATTTGTGAATTTTTTCTGCCATTTTCATCAAAGATATGGCCCACCTATCAAACGACGCAAATGATAAGAATTGGCCCTTTTGCTTTTCTTAAACTATGGATGCTATCTCTCAGTAAGGTTTTCGAAACTTGAAACCGAGTTGAAAGAAAACTGAACTACTCTGAATCGTTGTAAACTTAGAAGTTCTCGTCCAATTTTACCGTCCTTGTTTATTCAATACATTAATTTTATCAATTGAAAGATACTACCTCGCCAAAATGTCTCCTTTCCTATAAATCGTAGCCCTCCGGTTGATCAGAAAGTACTCGAAAAAGTGGGTTCATCCGGTCTTTAAAATGTTTTTTCCCCGATTTTTCCTGATTGAAACGTATTTTGTTCCGCTTCAATAACTAAATGATTTAAAATTTCAGCTGGTACATAATGAAGACAACGCTCCTGAAAACACGTATGACTTGCTGTTGTTTCGGCATTTAGAGTACATACTTCGATTTCGTCATATTGAACGTTTATTGCTTAAAATAGTTCAGCGCTGTACAGCAAATGACAACTACAAATTGCAAATGAAGGGGTTGGATTAGGTAAGGGTTGGGTTATTTTTATTTTTGTTTTTGTTTTTTCTTTCAGAGTAAAAGTTAGATTTAGTATCGGAGTAAGCTTGGTGCAATAAAAAGAATACTGAGCTAAAGTGACCTCATATAAAAATTTAAATCTGCATCACGGCTGCGCCAATTAATTTCTACGAGAGGTATTGGGGGGAAATTGTGATAAAGTCAGGTGTGGCAGCAGTATTTGCTGTTATTGTCCATCGTTGAAGGCTACGTGCACTACAGCTAACTACAGTGGAAAATAGAGTGACACGCAATGAAAAAATCAATGGTATCATACAAACTTGAGTGAGTTCCTTGTTTTTGAGTTTTGTTCAGTCCACTTTCAACGCCCAACGTATTGGATGATAAATTTGTGCGCTGAAAACGAACGTGATTTGAGAAAAGTGTTTTGATCAATTTATGTTGTTAGGTGCAATATCATCATTACAGTAATCATATGCAGATATTTAGCACCTCTCTTCATTGAAAAAGGCTATACTTAGGGGAATTTTGTTCGTTTCAAGCCTGTCAAACGTTCATCCTCGCACTATCGGGTTAGGAATGTTAAATACGTTTTGAAATTCCGGTCAAAGCCAATCTTTTCGTGCCACTCATGCTTTGCGCGGCATGAATAGCAAAGCGTGTCGCCAATGTACGTGATGATATTGACGTGAAAATATGCGACATGGTACTTGAAGCAAAGCGGTTGAAAACTAGTCTCTCGCCAGTTTGGAACATATTTACAAGTTTAAAAAACAAAACGGTCCTCGCAATAACCTATCTTTAGGTTTAACCGAACTAACCGAGCGATGGGAAACTGCCATATGGCAAGCGAAAGGGAAGCTGTTGTTGTCTCAGGTAAAATTGTCTATCGATACACTGATCAAACAATATCCTTAAAAAACGCATATTACGAGAGCCATCACATCTACTTTGACTATTCGCCTTTTGCATCATTGATGGTACACTTGGCTTTACTGAATTTGTTCCATTCAAGAAACATAATAGTTTTATTAAAAGAGGTGAAATAAAATAATTTGGTCAGTACGTGACAACAAAAATTTTGTTTTGATTAGTTTTTTAAAATATTCTTATATTTCCTTCAAACAAATATCCTTTGTTTTCTTTCAGTGACAAAAGTGCAGATCTAATTTCTTCGTCAGACTAAGGTGGCCAAAGTGTATGACTTTAAATAGTCGTCTTAAAGACAGGAACAACAATGTACATCAGTCTCTTTCATGCAAGAGACGTTTTATGACTCAGTAAGGGCGGCAAGACACTGACCTTTGAACGCTTCCCTGTACAAACACTTGAATTATAAAATCAATAAGATTACATGTAATTTAAATGTGCATTTTCTCTCTAAGGTGGATGTTGCATTCCTCGAACTCAGCAGCACAAAGCGGTTGCGGGCAAACGGAGTTGTCTGTGGGCCTGGGCGGGGCTTAGTAAAGTTGATAGGTATCGTAAATTGTTTAGTTATGAATGATCACATTGTAAAGGAATGGGATCAACGAAACCACCCCATCCTGATCAAACGGTGACGTCACTCCACTCTTCAGATTCTTCTGCGTTTTAATTCTACAGTCGCATCGTCTTAACTTGTTTACCCGGGGTGCCATGAACACCCTCACGATTTACTAGGTAGGCCTAAGGTCTCTGTTTTAGAACCGGAATAAGTGCGAAGCCTAAGATTTGTGAGCGATTTTTTTGAATTAGCTTTGTGCTTGGTTTCGTTTTGAAAGAGAAAATGTTTTCGCAAATAGCTTGTCACTTAACCTCTTCGAAAAAAAATTAATCGACGGGTCGTTTATGTTAATACTTAGCATAGCTGAAAGGTTTCTTTAAAGAATTGTCATTTTACTTTCTCATCAGAAGAGAGCGGTGCACTCACCTCTCGAGCCTAGTACTACTGAGTCAGGCTTAAAGATAGAGGAACGCGACAAGAGTTTAAGAGGGGAGGCGAATACGACTGTTTCTTGCTGTATCTGCCAAATCCCCTCTATGACATCCAGTATATTTTGAGACTTAGGCAAGCCTTTTGTTAATGATCGATAGTCTTGAGCTAATGTCATCTTTCTTTACATTTCAAACTTTCATAATGACTCGGTGAGTTAAATGTTTCTACTCCTTAGCTGCAATTTGGAATAGGCGATGGCTAGCCTCCTCACTCAACTTAATTGTAAACAGTGCCACGCCATAAACTCACTAAGACACATATTGAACCTTAAAATGACTCTTAATTTGTCAGGTGTTGTAACCAGTGATTTAGCTTTTGTTTTATCCCGTCCAAACGTTTCCTTAAAAGGGGACCTCGTTGACACGGCCAACGGCCACACTCGGAAATGCAAACCTGTACTATTCACAACTTACTCATTAACATGTTAACTGAGACTAAATAAACATTCTCAATCTACCAAACAAAACAATACAGTATTGAAATCGTAACTGAAAAATGCCCTCTCTTTGTTCAAAGCACCTTGACTTGTGAAGTGAATTGATAATACCCCACACCTAGTCTGTCCAGAGACCTCCCCGTGTTATTATGCCGATCTATTTCTTGAACATGGTAGCTTTAAGAGTTAGAAATGTGTCACCTAGGTTTAATTATGGAAATAACGATGACAAAATTTTCAATAACAGCATATTTCTTACAGGTTAACCCTGGATGTACTTACGTTCAAAAAGGTTTACAGGAATGTCAAAACGGCGCGAAGTGATCGAGCTTCTGTCTCAATCATTGCCGAAGTACAAATTATGCAGGATCTTCAACATTTCGCAAGAGCAAGTGATTATTTCCTCGGAAAAACCACAGATGAAATATCTGATGTTGTTCTTCATGTTTTCGAGGCACATCTTCGTGATATCTGTGAACAATTAATTCTGAAACGCATCGAAGAAGGTATGGGTAGTTTTTTAACCCCATAGTTTCTTGTATCATCTCCTGATTATGAATCTTTAGCCAACAGTAGACCTACTTCATGAGACGACTGGTGTAAGTGGGGGAACTGAGGCCCAGCTAGAGGTCAATTTCGGACATGATACCGAGTCCAGTAATAAGGGAAGGCTTCCCTCTTTCTGCCACTAGAACCAAAACTACCAAAGGTGCACAATTAGGAAATAAGGTTTTTTCTTTTCAAAGAACCTGGTTTCTAAGCCATCCGATGCGTTGTTTATTTAACGGAACGTTATGATATGATACGAATCAAAACGTCAGATTTTCCAAGTTGATATTCAACTAAGCTTTGGACGATCTTTAAAAAAATCTTTGACTTGTTAATTAATTGTTGATTTCTCTTCGTCCTGACTATTTCAGATGCAAATCATTTGTCAGTAAAAGTGCGGAAGGCAGCCATTCCGGACGTATGGGATTTGGGAGTGTTAATTCATGACTTTTTCATCACGGACGTCACAAGGGAGGATTTCTAAAAGTTACAATAGAACACAAAGAATAATCAACAATAAGATCAATGAAATGCAATGAGTTCAAAACGCGGTTGACTATTGAGAGCTCGGAAAGTGTCTTCTTTTCCTGTGAGTTCATACGAGCCCTCTCTAAGGAACCAGCAGCGTACTCTTAGAGTAGACTCTCTGTGTAGTTCCAAGGGTGGGAGGCATTATCACAGGAAGGGACATAAATAAACAAGAGTTCCGTTACAGAGGTAAATTTCTCAAATTTCAACATAGGCGTCCAATATAGGGCCGCTCGTCTCAGGCATGCGTTGTTTTAGATATTCCCACGGTAGCAGACTGTGATATCATATCACAAGGGAGAGGCCAAATATTTGACAGAAAACAGTGGAAGTGTGATTAAGTTTGGCAGACGCATTAGAAGGCCAGTACGAATAAGGAGCGTGTCCACGAGAGCACCGGGCAGTCGTGCTACATGACATCACACCGATTTCAATGAAACTTTGCCAGTTTAAAAGGTCTACCCCAAAACTAAAAAAGACGAAGTGGTTTCTGTTTTGGTTTTTTCCGGGGGGAGATAGACCATCCACCCGGTTTTTCTTGGTTTTTACCAAGGAAATCGCCTCAAAATAGGTAAAATGTATGAAGCTCTCACTGCGATGGTATTTAAGCAATTACTCTGAGGGTTTGCACACACATCATTGCACCCTTACTAAATGTCCGAAGCAAGTATCAGTCAATTTGATTGACGGCTTGTCAACTAAGAGAGGCAAATAAACAACAATGCTTTTAGACTTTCCGATTCATCCAAATATTTGACAACTTCGAGGTCAAATATCTCCCCTTGCCAGAAAGCTACAACACTAATCTTAATGCCCTTTATAATCCATCATTTCATCTCTGAAGACCATCAAAAAAATCTTTGGGCACTACCATATTTTTGTCTTGGATGCCTTTTAAAATTTGCGACTGTGACAAGTTTCTCTCAACTTCACCTGTCACGCAATTCTGGCTCTGGCCGGTCACTTGACCGAATAATCCTACATTTTTTAGCTCTTCATACAAAATAATTAATCAAGAAAGCTAAAATATGTGAAAAACTTACTTTTCAACCGGCTGAGATTTTTCGTAGGGATGGAAAATTTCACGTTTAGATGCATGTAGGCGAAAAATCGATGTCAAAATCGTAGCGTTTCTTTCTTCTATCGTTTATTACTTCGGAGATTTTCTAAAATCAGCAAATATGGCTTTTTTATGGTGCAAAGCATTCATCAGTCTATAATTTGATTGTTTATAATCATTATTGCACATTTAAGGAGATTTTAAAGTCACGCTGCGTGTTGGTTGACATTATTACAAGTTCCAGTGTGCTACAACTTCGGCTTCTACAGACGAGAAATTCTGCGCTCTCGCTTGAGAGCGAATATTAATAACTCTTTCAAACAAAAAACTGTGCTACTATCCCGAAAATAAAATTAAAATAGTGTTGTTGTCGTCACTTACCGCCATCGAACATTTCCATGCATAACTCCGCAAAACTAACATCTGTTGCGTGACAGTCTTCGTCTAAATTTTGCAAAGTCCTTCCTTATCTTATGCCTTGTTCGGTCAGTTTCGACTTCTGAAGCTAGAACATCGGCATCGGCCTCTTCGTCCTCATTCACACTTACAGGGGTGACCTCGTCAATAACCAATTTTTGTTAAGGCAGATAACCGGCTGAAGTATCGAGCGATTTGCTGCTCTATCAACCAGTCAGTCGTAGTCAATATTTCTGGCCGGTGTCGTCTCTTAGTAAGAGGCGGTTGCCTTACTAGTTTCCTCCCCTGTCAAGCACACGTCTAGGAGATAATTCTTTGCTTTCTGAGAAAAGGCGGCTGCTTTTTGTGTTTTACAAAGAGCCCATCCAAAGTCCACCTGGCTAGGTAGAGATTGTTCGTCAAAATTTTACCTGAGGTCAACCTTGAACGCAGCCACCCCGGTAGTTAGATAACGGCGTAATATGTAACACAGTCTATAGACTGTAAGATTTTACGCCACTATGTGCGTCGGTGTATATATATATAAGTAAGATTTTAAGCTGTTAACTAACGGCGTAAAATCTTTCAGTATATAATTTACCGATTGGAAGAAATTACGCCGTTAGTTACTGGCGTAAAATCTTACATATATATATCACCGACTGGAAGAAATTACGCCGTTACTTACTGGCGTAAAATCTTACAGTATATAATATACTGACTGGAAGAAATTACGCCATTAGTTACCAGCGTAAAATCTTACAGTATATAATATACCGAATTACGCCGTTAGTTACTGGCGTAAAATCTTCCATATAAAGACTACCGACTGGAAGAAATTGCGCCTTTAGTTACTGGCTTAAAATCGTACATATAAACACAACCGACTGGCTATTGATTATTATACCTCATATACCTGATTGCTCAAACACTTTGTTTACAATTATTGAAAGGACCGACTCATGGATTTCTCTGAAAACTTCTTTGCTTTGAAATAGTATAGATTAGTGAGCTGAAACGAAAAATTAATCAGGGAAGTTTACGAAAAATCCAGCGAACAAGCTTAAAAAAGGCATTTATTTAGACTTCATACTGCGATGAACTTCACAAATCTTACTTGTTTATCTCGTAAGTTAACAATGGCAGATTAATTCCCGAAGTGCTTTCTGAGTTTCCCGATCCCTCTCCTACTGCTTTCACGCTCACAAAACAGGAAAAAATCAAAAGGAGGAAGATACAGCTGTTTTGAAACGCCATTTGACGAGGGTAAATCTGCTTTTTGTTCGACACTTTACATATCAAAACAAAGGAAATTTGTTCCTCTTTTTGATTCTAGCGGTACATTTTAAAATTGCGCTTGCGTAAAAGGGATATCACCCAAGACGCTTCGCTCGGTTGTGTTTTGAACAAAAATGCCTTGTTAATTTCACGGAACCGCTCGGAGAAAAGGTTAAAATGACGAGGGAAAAACTTTACCTTCAAG